CCTTAGCCTTAACGACATGATCGCTCTGTCCGGTAAGAAGATTTGAAAGAATAGTATCATTCGGATAAAAACAAATTAGCTATATATAGTAGTGATTTCAATTTGGTAATATTTCGGTTTAGCTTCATGTGGTTATCGGTTTATATTTCCGGTCCTAATTTACATTTGGTTTGATCTTAAACATCTCAGGGACACACACATTAGGATTCGCGCATTGCACAAAAGTATTCGATCGGATATACACTTTCAACAAGACAACTAAAGTGGATCCCACGGTTAACAAAGATTACGTGACAGAGCTAAAAGCGTCGTGTCCTCAAAACGTAGATCCAAGAGTGGCTATAAACATGGATCCAACAACACCAAGACAATTCGACAACGTTTACTACAAAAACTTGCAACAAGGGAAAGGACTGTTCACGTCTGATCAAGTCTTATTCACGGATCGTCGGTCAAAGCCAACCGTTGACTTGTGGGCAAGTAATGGACAGTTGTTTAATCAAGCTTTTATTAACTCGATGATCAAGCTTGGTCGTGTTGGTGTTAAGACCGGTAGTAATGGTAATATCCGTCGTGATTGTGGAGCTTTTAATTAATTTAAATATATCTGGTTTAGATTTTGTTTATCTTCATTCAGTTGTATTGGGGATTGGATGGGTCTCATGAAGCTTTCAGATATAATTGTAATAAATCTCAGTTTTGGGTTTCAGTTTGCTATATCGCAAAACCTAAATTGTAACATAGAGTGACAATAAATTTGAAGGAACAATAAATATCATTATAATAGTTATGGAGGGATACATGATTAGTCCCAATGACAATACTTTATATTTGTATCAAATGTCAATCATCTATTGTTTAAGTAGTTAACTACAAATAATTAATTTTTGTGTTGAGAAATATAACCAAAGTACATTTTCTTTCCAAAAATGATCAAACGAATTGTTAAAAAGAGTTAACACAAATATAGTTCAAATTCGTAATCTTAACTCATCGAAAAGTAATTATTAAGTTAGTGATTATTTGAGATTGAGAGCTAACAATCACCGCTCTTTCTCGCTATGTCTTCGAGAATTTATTCGAACAATACCTTAGTTAATCTTAAATGATTCAGATGCGTTCGCTTACCTCTAGCCCGTGCCATTGTGCCAACATGAAAATAAAACAAACCTTCGCCTACATTCATTTTCTTTTAAGTTTGAATTGTCTATATATAAATTTCTGTATATAACAACAACCATAAGTCCATTTTTTTAGTGTTGAAATGTGACTCTTTGTAATTTTGGGTAATAGAATTTATGAAGTCTTTTAAATTGTAATCTAGTTAAATTTTTAAAATTGAACTAAATATTGAGACAAATCAAATATTAGAGTAACTAATCTATTCACCTTATTCTAAATCACCAATCTAAATCTTTTCGATGCAAAATTTTTATAATGACTAAACATCTATCAATATGTTATAATTACTGAAATAACTTAAATAATCAAGAGAAAATAAATTGATCAAAAATTTGCAAAGATTAAGAAAAATATAAGCAAAACATAAATAATATATTTTTTTTAAAACTGAAAAAAAATCACACATTCAAAGTTGAGATTCTAAACAAATAGAAACAAACATATAAGACCATAATTTTATGTTTTGGTAATTTATCATCAAATTAATTATCCTTCTTCCCTGACCTATGTTATAAAGGAACTTTTTTTAATTCATTATTATTCATCAATTTTCAAGATGTCCTCAATTTCAAATCCTCGTAATAGGTTAGTAATAGCGTTTCAACTTTCGAGTTTCAACGTTTTTGTATAACTTTCTTGGGATACAAGGCCCAAGCCCAATCCATAATATAGCAAGCAAAGCAATGGTCGGAATTTACCTTAACTCTCGTCTTTATGGATTCTTCCAGGACTTTAGGCAACGCTTACTATCGCAATCTGGAAGAGCGGAAAGGCGTTTTTGACTCCGACCAAGCGCTATACACTGACCCGCGCTCACAGCCATTAGTTGAAGAAGTGGCCAGTAAGGCAGTCATGGTCAGGATTTCGAAGGAGCTTTCGCACGCTCAATGATTACGTTGGGCAAAATCGGCGTGAAAACGAGATCCAACGGCAACATCCGCCGTCTTTGTGACGCCTTTAATTAATTGTAACTTGTGCTGGGCCCTAAAGCCCATTATGTAAAACAATCATAATGTAATTAAGTGAAATAGTAATGAAAATCTTCATTTAAATAAAAAAAAAATACCCTACTCTCTTCACTTCTCGCTGATCTCTCTTCTCGTGGCCCGTGGGTTCGTTTTCGTTGAAAGATTTTGAATCACATATGACGTGAATGGACTGGTGGAGAGATCCCGGTGTCCGGTGTACCGTTCGGTGGCGAGCTCCGCCGGACAATCCAATCTTCGTGCCACAAATTTTTGGGATTTTAATGTTGGACTTTTTTTGTGGTGTATAAGCACGTGGCTTCATCTCTGTCTTTTCAAGAAACATCGAAACAAATATGAACACTTATGCAAAATTTCAATTCATTTCCATCAATTAGGTTTTTTTTTGTTTTTTGTTTTAACAACTAAACATATTATTCGATCGTCTGAGTTTTTTTGTTTTGTTTGTGTTGCAATTTTGAGGGTAATGTTTTATTGCTTTAGCCTAATATCACAAAACGAAGTCGTTAAATAGTTTAGAAAATAAATAAACAAATCGATATCATTAGGATCAACTGAAATAGGCCCAATTAATTCTAACTAATGAACGTTGATGATTGATAATCCTCTATAGAAAATTACTAACTTTTTGTAGAATAATCAAGATGTTTACGAACTTACTGATTGCAAGCGTTCGCGATTAACTTACATCGTTGGGGTTTGCATCAAATTAAGTAAAGTTACCCCAAGGTAATATCATTACTATATTACTATTTAAAAGACTTAAACTTCCACAATGCAATATATCGATAACGTTATTATACATAGCAACCGCAAGATAATTCAGTGGCGTGAGGGGTCTCTTTAAGACATTTTCCGCTAGGAAAACGCATTTCTATGCATTTTTTGTTGCAGTCTGGAATTTTTGAGCAAGAACCAATCACGAAAAAGCCATGTCTCTGTGATTCTTCAGCTTCCACAGCTTCTGTCATATTTTAAATAATTAAATCAAAAACAAAAAATATATAAGCATATCATATATTCCCTCCGTTCCTGAAAGTTTGATATTCTAGTGTTTTAGGTTTGTTCCACAAAAATTAATTTTCTAGCTTTTTATTTTATTTTTTATTAATTGATATTAAAAAATCGTAGATTTCAAAGCGTAATGATTACAAATAATTAACTGTTTTATATTACTATTGGTTCATACACTATTAAAAATATTTAATGAAAAGAAAAAATTATTAAATGATTAAATCATGATTGTTTTTTAATATATGTGTAAACTCTAAAACATCAAATTTTCAGGAACAGAAGGAGTAGCTTTAAACTGAAAAAATAGATTTCCTTTGTTGCTTACTTGGAATCAAGAGACATCAAGACACAAGAGCACAAAAAATAAACATTTGCATGATGATGCCATTTTTGTATTTATTTTTTCTTTTTGTGCTTTTGCTAATGAAATATGATTGAATAGTTCTATTTTTAAACACTTGAGTTAGAGAGAGAGAAAGATACACGTGGTCCCTTTATATATGTAATTTCCTATATTACTGAATTTGCTTAATTGGCAAAATATAATTACATTTGGATTTTTTACTATGATTTACATTAAAATTTTAGTCAACCTTTAATGTATATTCAATATTTAAGAGGAATTAATTTTATTATTATATGTTGACTATTTAATTTCTTAATATTTGAATACGCATTATATGTATCATTTATAGCATAAAATATGTTCTCTTTTGTAAGATACTACTAATTACTAAAGGCTTGGGAAAAAGATGGTCATCTTTTGAAATCCATTTTTAAAAAATATTGAGATATATTTTTAAAAAATAAATTTTATGGACATTTATATAATACAATCAACAAATTTTCAAAATTAACATTAGTGAATTTACGCAATAACTATGTTATTACCCAATCTAAATATATAAAATAATAAAATTAATTATAATACGATCACATGAAATATTAATTAATTTATCTTATTTTAAAAAATTTATAAATTATGTGATAAATTTGATAACAAAATTTATTTTGGTGTTATTTGTGTGAATTGCCAAAAATAGATTAGACTGATGAAGAGAAGTGGCTATTTGCATTATCCAAAAGCCGTCTTATCCATGAAGACCAAATTTCGGTCGTATCATGTAAATATATATATAAGCTATTGGCAAATATCGTACTAATGTCACCTGGAAATTTGGAATCCCTCGGAAGCTAATTTATCGATTTGTTTCTTCACAAATCAAGTGTCAATTCTTTAAAGGGTTTTATTCGTATTTAGGATCTTTATATTTCATGTGATCTGCTCAGAGGGGAAAATTAAAAAAATTCCAAGCTGGACTACGGGGGAATACAAATTTTGAGAAAATAAATAAATACAAGGGAAAATGTTTTTTTTTTTTAATCAATATGACAGCTTATAAGTACTAAAACTGCGATCGAATAAATAAATCGTTTGGTTGGTTATGCGATTAAATTAGGCAGTTAAAAAGTGAATAGACAAACCGTATAAGCACAAAACCGTATTATCAAGGAAATTCCTTCATTCTCAATTTCTAGATTTTCTAACTGCATTAGGATGGTGGTAGTAGCTAACTTATGGAAATTATGTGATAATTTAACAGAACTAGAAAGATTTGGAAAGCAGGCTTTTACACAGTTCAATGTTACCGTTGCGTTACTATCGTTTTACTCTATATATTAGTATGAATCAGATACACAAAGAGCCCATTAATGGCTGAATGTTGATCCAATTTTCACGAATATTATATGATTCTTTGTTATATATGATCAGTTCTTAATACAGTATTGTACAAGATACATTATGTGTGATATGCCTTCTTTAAATGAGTTTCGAAACTTGGAAAAAAACATGAAAATACAGACCATATGTAAGAAATGAAACAATTCTCAACAGATTATTTATTCTCATCGGCAAAATATATAACCCCAAAATTTTATCATATTTCAGTATTTCTCGATAGAGAAAATCATTAACTAGCCAATAACTATGCGGCTTAACTAAATATCCATTCCCACTCATAACTGATAACCCTAAAAAAGAGCCTCAAAATCTTTGAGTGTTTTGCGTCGTCGGTTTTAAACAAAAAGGTTTAATAACTTTTTCTCTCCTTTGTTTCTTCTTTGTTTATTATCTCCTCTCATACCATTTTCCCAACACGACGTCGTTACAGATTCCTCCGATGGACTCCCCGGACGATCACCGTTAACCGCCTTACAAAACGTCGACGGAGGAAGAAAAGGAACCGGTACAGCCTGAGCGGTTAGGGTTAAACCGTCGTTCACTTGGAGATCAAGATCCGAATCGGACTTGAATCGTTTCCGGTTAACCAGAGAGTCTTTCATCTCCGTCTTAGATCTGGAGGTGGTGAAGCGACAATGGTGGTTTTTGTTTCTTGAAACGTCTTGATGCCAAATCTCGGAAGACTCATCGGAGGAGAGCATCAACGACGGAGATTCAAGAAGATCTGAGATCGGTCTCAAAGTTCCGCCGCGAAGAACAGTCTCAACCGCCGCTTGGCACACGTGCCAGTTCCCAGTCCATAACATACCAACCGCTCCGTTAACCGGATTCACCGTCCTCCCACACGCTTCAAACAACAACGACTGAAACAAAGCTTAACAAACCAAAACCAAAAAAATCAATTTCAAATCAAAAACATTAAACGTTGTTATAGATCAAAGAGTTTGTGACCTAATGGTTAAAAAATAAACCTAACTAGTACTCTCATAGTCATGTTATATTTTTCGATTTCAAGATAGATAGTGCGTGTGAGTGATCTGTAGATGATAAAGAGAAGTCGTACCTGGACGTTGGATTTCGGGTACGCCGGAGATGAAAGACATGAGACCGGCACGGCCAAAGAATTTAGCGACGAAGATAGTGGCATGGCCTTGTGACTCTGCGGATTCGATCCATTGAAGGCAAGGTCGAAGGATGCATGTTTCGCTGCAACCTTTTCGAAGAACTCTACATCCATTGCAACTCATTTTTTTTCCGAAATTTGAAAACTTATTATATGAGAAGTGATATCCAATATTTTGGGAAACTCTACTTGTTAAAAAAAAAAAGTATAGAAAAGCGTCGATTATTTCGAATTTGGGAGCAAGAAAATAGGTTTTGATCTAATTTGATTGAATGAAGAAGAGAGAAAGAGAAAACAAGTTTTAAGAAGATGAGAGATGATAAAATGAGATTTATAGAGGCGAGTGAATAATAATAAAGAGAGTGTGCCAACTTGTGTTTCTTTTTTATTCCTTTGTCCTTTTTTTTTCCATTATTCTAATTAAAAATCTTTGTGTATATTTGAAACTTATGGGAAATACAGAAACTAAAAACAAGTTTGGATTTCGTTTTCAAAAAAAAAAAAAAAAACAAGTTTGGATTTAGCCGGTTAGGGTATAACATTTTGAAAAGTTAAAATACTAATATAGATTAGTTTTGCGATCACTAATTCAAACTTGAGTTAATTTATACTCTCTCCGTTTCATAATATAAGTCGTTTTAGCTTTAAACACGCAGATTAAGAATATATATTTTTAAAAAGTTCAGTCAATCATAAAAGAGACTGCATAATATAAATAATTATTAAATATTAAAGTAATATATAAAGTGGTAAAAGATTATTTGACTAGTGTTAAAAAATAGGAGTCTAGAATTTATAAACTCGCAAGGCTTATTGTATCTCAATGGACTTAAAACTTGAAAATGAAATTGTAAAATTTATGTTGAAAACGACTTATATTATGAAACAAAATTTTTTCTTCAAAATGACTTATATTATAAAATGGAGGGAGTATAAGTTGTTGGTTTGAACTATATACCCTAAAAGACAGCGTTAGGGAGGGATTCCAAAGGTATTGGCATTGGAGGAAGAGAGAGAAAGAGAGCGTTTCCGTTTCTCCGCGAACACTTGTCGCTGACTCAGACTCCTCTTATATTATTATTACTTTCTTGTTTTAAAGAAAAAATATTAAGATGTGTACTCTCTTCTTTTCAATTAGAGTACTATAATGAAAACAAAGCTGAATTTGGGATTTGATAAGTTAATAGACAAATCTTACGTCAGGAGACGATGGGGTGCACGTGGATTAGGGGAAATTATTGGTTCAAGTGGTTTGTATTTTTATGTGATGTTTCGGATTTTATTATAGAGAAAATAAAAATACTTCATTGGTAGTTATTGTGTGTTACTTAATGATGCTATTCTTTGGGTGAATGAATCTCATATTTTCAGGGTTAATCATTTGGATGGCATTATTGAATATTGATACAAAAAGATACTGAAATCAATAAGCAAATCACAAGAGGACAAATTGTTAAAAGAAAGTAAAAAAAAAGAGAGGACAAAGTGTTGTGGGTATCTTGCCACATATTCTTCTAGTTTTCTCTAGTAGCCAGACACACAATAAAACCACCCTAATACCAAATAGTAAATCACAGTTTTATATCTCAATAGTTCACTTCAAATGAGTTTACCAAAAATAAATAAGTAGTTCACTTCAAATGAAATGAACTATCAAAAACTTTCATTAGAATACGATAATGTAACACATTACACGAAATATCTAATGATTAATGGGGCGTTATGATATACACATAATTACAAATTTACAACAAAAAAAAAATCACATGACGATTACAAACAAAGTGTTAACGACGTTCTAGAGGGGCATACATGAGCTATATCTACATTTCCCAATGGTGGAACTTGCATCAATGTACTTTCACATTCCTCCAATCACTTTGGACATGTAAAATGTTTATCAATAAACAATTAGAGAGAAACGTGGTGTTCATGAGTCATGACCTCGTCGTCTTCCACAAACGCATGTGTCTCCATATGTATAAATCAGAATTGATATAGTACAAAAAAGACTCTTAACTTATTATAAATAAGCGTGTTTGACTCTACGTACCTACGACACAACATAAGTATTTGCAATCTCTTGGAACTACAAAAGCCGTTATTGGCCCTTCGCTATATTCAAAGGTTTCTTCTGATCTTCTCTATGCGTGTGCCGGTGTGCCCCTCTCTTTCTCGAACGTATGTAGTATAATTCTTTTTTTTCTAATTTGAAATACATTGATTTATCTACGGTGTAGAGAAAATACAGATGGAAAAGTGCTTTGCTTATGCAAATTTCTCAATGGCGAATTTTCCAAAACTTCTGACCTAATTAGAGAAATTTTTAGCTCACATCATCTCCCACACTTTGTCGGAATAGGTCTCAAACTACTACTTAAATTATTACATTTATTATTTTATATATGCGATATTTTTACCTGCAAAGCGAATCATAATTTAATGGACTACTGGTGACACTAGTTCAAAGTATTTGGTTGATATTTTGAATAGAAGCACTATAAAACGAAACACAAATGTAGACCATACGAAAAAAAAAAAAAAGTAGAACTTTGTGGAATAATGGACTGATTAATTAACTTAAATCACGATTTCATAATTGATATAGTCATTGCAGAAAATTCAAAATTCGAAGAAAATTATCAATGAGAACAACATGACCATCAACTACTACTACATGTATATATTTTTCTACTGGTCAGGAAGAAAATGTGGAAGTGTATCTTAGCTTTCTTCTTTACGATTAATTAAACAAAACATTTTGAACAGTTTTATACTACTGTTGCTGTCGGTTCTGACGTTGCATACTTATCCAAACCAGCCTTTAGTTTTGTCTTCCGTACAGTTTAACTCGCTGGAATGTAACATGCAAAGTTATAAAATTATCATAATATTTTATTAAATATTGGCAATATATGATCATAGTTAGATTTTCGTATTTCACAGAAATTTAAAGACTAATCTCATAATTTTAAAACTAATAACATTAATTTACGAGACTCCGGAATCCAAACAATATCACCACCATTTCTCCTCGTACTATTTTGTATTATATGACATCATATCATCTTTAATCCTCTATCAACCATGCCAAATTGCAATTTTTTTTTGTTATGCCATTTTAGATGTGAATAGGACCAATAATAAAACACCTTTCATTCAATAAATAAATTAACAAAATGTGATATTATCCCCCACAATAAAACTCTTTTTTTTTTTTTTTTGATAAACACCAAAATAAAACTTGATGACGCCAAGCATGTAAAGCCACAACCACGTAAAAATTAAATTAAGTCAAAATGAAGATTCGATAAGATTTTTTGGACAAAATCTGTCTGATGCTTATTCAGGAGCATCTCCTCTGTTCCAGCAAGAATGTGGAAGTAGGGATCAAAGAGTGTTTTAATGGTTGACCTCCAGAAGATGAAGAAGCCACGGAAGCAAGAATTGCCGCTCCACAAGAGTTGGCTCCCCGGAGTTTCCTCCGATCACCTGAGCTTACGACTCTCTGATTCTTTTTCATAACATAAGTCAAGAAAACGTCATTTTCAACTTTTTGTCCTGCATGCATTGCCACACATAGACGGAGACACGTGTCTCTGGATACTATCCACTTGGTTAAGAAAAAAACAAAGTAACAGTTTTAGAAAAAGAGGAAAAGTCTTACGTTTATAGTGAAATCTGCAATCTTTTTTACTGTCTTTTTGTTGTGGATAGATAAAGAATCTGCAAGAACCAATGAATGACCTCTCTTTTTACTGTAACAAGGACAAAAGAAAGAGAGAAAATAAAAGAGATATATAGAGAGAAAACGTGAATAGAGAGACCACTGTACTTATTGGGTTTTGATGTTTGATGGCTCCACTGAGTCCAAGAGTAGTGGTGAAGGTGGATTTGAAGAAGAAGCCATGGCAGCAGAACCAGCCACTGCACAATAGATGGCATCCGGAGATACCACCAGTAGCAGAGGTCAAGGCTGGTGAGTTTTTCCGGGTGGAAATGATTGATTGTATGGGAGGTGTTGTCAAAGACAATGACTCTGCAAGCGATATCAAGAACGCAGACCTAACCACTGTAAGTGGGTTTTGTAAGAAACATGTGAAAAATCAACGATGAAACAATTCATTTACTTTGAAAGAAAAACAACTTTTGGTGATTGTACAGACTCATCACCTAAGTGGGCCGATTAGAGTTGTGGATGAGGATGGTGTTGCAGCTATGCCAGGTGATCTTCTTGCTGTTGAGATATGCAACTTAGGTCCTCTTCCAGGAGATGAATGGGGATTCACTGGTTCGTTTGATAGAGAGAATGGTGGCGGTTTCTTGACTGACCATTTCCCTTGTGCGACCAAAGCTATTTGGTACTTTGAAGGGATCTATGCCTACTCTCCTCAAATTCCTGGTAAGAAGACAACATGTCAATGTCTTTTGTCAAGCAACTTTAGTAGCATAACCATGTAGCTTTCCTTGTTATGAGGTGTTCTGTTGATTATTCACATGCTAATATCATCACATCACGGCAGGAGTACGATTTCCGGGTTTGACACACCCAGGAGTCATTGGCACCGCGCCATCGATGGAACTCCTGAGAATATGGAATGAAAGGGAAAGACAATTAGAAGAAAGTGGTCTCAAGTCCCCAACACTATGTGAGGTTGTGCATCAACGGCCATTGGCAAACCTACCAACAGCTAAAGGATGCCTCCTAGGGAACGTAAGCGTTGATGAGTATAAAATGGTGCTTAACTCTTGACTTCCCAGGGTTTCTAACATAATCCTCTTGTAGATTGAAGAAGGAACACCGGAATGGGAAAGGATTGCAAACGAGGCTGCGAGGACGATACCAGGAAGAGAAAACGGAGGAAACTGTGACATTAAAAACCTAAGCAGAGGCTCTAAAATATATCTTCCAGTGTTTGTAGAAGGGGCTAATCTAAGCACAGGAGACATGCATTTCTCGCAAGGTGATGGTGAGATCTCATTCTGTGGGGCCATCGAGATGAGTGGATTTCTAGAACTCAAGTATGTAAATAAGTTACTCTACTATGCATTCTCAGATGTTTTTGTTTGTGTGCAGCGTATTAAACAATTCTGACCAGATACCATTATGTAACTCCTTAATAGGTGTGAAATCATAAGGAATGGGATGCAAGAATACCTTACGCCAATGGGACCGACCCCGCTCCATGTAAACCCAATCTTTGAGATAGGGCCAGTTGAACCGAGATTCTCAGAATGGCTTGTCTTCGAAGGTATCAGTGTCGATGAGAGCGGGAGACAACATTACCTGGATGCAACAGTTGCTTACAAACGGGCAGTTCTCAACGCCATAGACTATCTCTTCAAATTTGGTTACTCAAAAGAACAGGTACTTGTCTTTGTAGCTTGATGTTTCTTCCAGAATCTAGTTGATCATAAACCAAATATCCATAAATTAAAACTAGAAAGACAGAAGTGATCAAGAGAATATGATGTGAACAGGTGTACCTCTTGCTCTCATGTTGTCCATGTGAAGGAAGACTATCTGGGATAGTTGATTCTCCAAATGCCGTTGCTACACTAGCAATACCTACAGCCATCTTTGATCAGGTATGAATTTGTGCTCCTCTGTTCTTTGGTTAAGTACAAAAAAGCTTCTGTAGAAACCTCTTAAGTTTACTCTGTTCTTCACCCTCGTCACTCAATAATTTGTTAACAACTGAAAAATAGGAAGACAAAGATGTTAATTGCTTTTGTATGTACGTTAATGCAGGATATTCGGCCAAAGACTCGGAAGGTTCCAGTAGGACCTCGGATAGTGAGGAAACCAGATGTACTGAAGAGCACATATGATGGAAAGCTTCCAATTACAAAGAATCCAAGTTCTTCGACAAGCTACTAGAAATCATTTATGTAGAGAAGCAACTATCTAGACAGTATAATTTACTAATCAGACATGTTTTGAAATAAAGAGAGAAATGGTTTCTTTTTCTTTGTTGGAAATTCCACATCAAGAAACTCTAAAAATTGGAAGGTAATGAAATGCGTCCTAAATCTTTATATGCACTCTTTAGGGTGATGCATCAGATTCTGTAAATCTTTATATGCACTCTTTAGGGTGATGCATCAGATTCTGTCTGAAAATAGCTTTCATTGAATTGCAAAACTGCGCAATTAATAAGTCGAATGTAAAATTCCTCCTTCGTGAGCTCCTCCTCTCTCCAAACATAGAGACCCTATTCAGAACATAAGTCAAGAAAATGTCATTTTCAACTTCTTGTCATCTATATGCATGGCCACACACAGACAAAGAGACATACGTGTCTTACGGCATTATCCACTTTGTAAGATACTAAGATGAATGAAAGTCATTTGTCTAGATATAGAAAAGTCTACGAGATGGTGAAAGATGGGATCTTTTACTGTCCTTTAGTTGTGGATAAGGAATCTGCAAGACCAATGATTCCAAGAGTGAAATATATATATAAACATAGAAAGTGTGAGTAGAGAGAGAATATACCGTACTTATTGGTTCGGTTTGATGGCTCCAGCAAGTCCACGAGTGGTGGTGAAGGTGGATTTGAAGAAGAGGCCGTGGCAGCAGGCTCAGCCACTGCACAATAGATGGCATCCTGAGATACCATCAGTTGCAGAGGTCAAGGCTGGTGAGTTGTTTAGGGTGGAAATGGTTGACTGGACGGGGGGTGCAGTCAAAGACGATGGCTCTGCTGGCGATATTAAGAGCATAGACCTCTCTACTGTAAGGAGGTTTAGTGAGAAACATGAGTAAACCAATCATGATGGCTTGCACATAGGTAAGAGTTTCTTGGTGATTATGCAGGTTCATTACCTGAGTGGGCCGATCAAAGTTGTGGATGAGGATGGTGTTGCAGCTAAGCCAGGTGATCTTCTTGCTGTTGAGATATGCAACTTAGGTCCTCTTCCAGGAGATGAATGGGGATTCACTGGTTCGTTTGATAGAGAGAATGGCGGCGGTTTCTTGACTGACCATTTCCCTTGTGCGACTAAAGCTATTTGGTACTTTGAAGGGATTTATGCCTACTCTCCTCAAATTCCTGGTAAGAACACAACATGTCCATGTCTTTTTTCAAGAAATGACTAGCATAACCATGTAGTTTTCCCTATTATGAGGTGTTCTATTGATTATTCTCATGTTAATATCATCACACTATGGCTCGGCAGGAGTACGATTCCCGGGTTTGACACACCCAGGAATCATTGGCACTGCACCATCAAAAGAACTCCTAAGAATATGGAATGAAAGGGAAAGACAATTAGAAGAATGTGGTCTTGAGTCCCTAACTTTATGTGAGGTCGTGCATCAGCGGCCACTGGCTAACCTACCGACAAGTAAAGGATGCCTCCTAGGGAATGTAAGCTATACCAAAACGATATTTGCTGATGCCATAACAAAGTTTTTGAACTGTATAAAATGGTAGTTACCCCTGAACTCTAAAGGATTCTTACCTAATGTTGTAGATTGAAGAAGGAACACCAGAATGGGAAAGGGTTTCAAAGGAAGCTGCAAGGACAATACCAGGAAGAGAAAACGGAGGGAACTGTGACATAAAAAACCTAAGCAGAGGCTCTAAAATATATCTTCCAGTGTTTGTAGAAGGGGCTAATCTAAGCACCGGTGACATGCATTTCTCGCAAGGTGATGGTGAGATCTCATTCTGTGGAGCCATCGAGATGAGTGGATTTCTAGAACTCAAGTATGAAAATAAGTTCCCAATTGCAGTTTTTCTAGTGATTATACTCTACAAGATTTTCTTAGATGTCCTTGTTTTTGTGCAGTGTTACTATGAAATTCTGACCAGATACCACTATGTGACTCATTAATAGGTGTGAAATCATTAGAAACGGGATGCAGGAGTACCTTACACCAATGGGACCTACCCCTCTCCACGTAAACCCGATCTTTGAGATAGGGCCAGTGGAACCGAGATTCTCAGAGTGGCTGGTCTTCGAAGGTATCAGTGTCGATGAGAGAGGAAGACAACAGTACCTAGATGCAACAGTTGCTTACAAACGAGCAGTTCTCAATGCCATAGACTATCTCTTCAAATTCGGTTACTCAAAAGAACAGGTACTGATCTCCGCAACAAGATGTTTCTCACAGAACCTAATTGATCACAAGCATTAAAACTAGAGATAAATTTGATCAAGAAACTATGGTGTGAACAGGTATACCTCTTACTCTCATGCTGTCCATGCGAAGGAAGAATATCTGGTATAGTAGATTCTCCAAATGCCGTAGCTACACTTGCAATACCCACTACCATCTTTGATCAGGTTTGAATTGACAATCACAAAGAATTACTTCACAATGGAAGACGCCAAACATCAAATGATTTTCTTATGTTCACGCAGGATATTCGGCCAAAGACTCGAAAGGTTCCAGCAGGACCTCGGATAGTGAGGAAACCAGACGTTATGAAGAGCACATATGATGGAAAACTTCCAATTACAAAAAATCCAAGTTCTTCCTCTTAGCTTCTACAAAAACAAAACAAAGATGTAGAAGCTAATACCAAGACTGTATAATCAAAGCATATGTTCCAATAAAAAAACAACAACTGTGTGTTCCATAAAAAGCAACTCAAGAAACCACAAGGCACGCAAAAGGCTTAACTTTGCACCATTATCTGAGTAAAAGCATTCACTTTGGTATCAAAATAGCTTAATTTTTATATCACATCCTTAAATTACAAAACTAGGCATATAATAAGTAGAATCTATGATCCATTCAAGCTTTAAAGCCAAAAACTTTACACTAGATTCCTTCTTCTAACCACTAACTAAGCACTTCTAGAGTTCTAGATAGAAAAAAATTACCATTTATCTCAGTAAAAGATGGAACTTGTTCTTAATTCAACCTCTTCCTCACTGCCTGAATCAATGACGCTTGAGATAGGTTTGAGCTTTACTTCAAAACACCGAGCTGCTCAAGCGTGGCAAGAACAATGTAGTGTCGACGAACTTGGTGATCGAATCAACTATCATAGAATTGAATTCCAGTCGGAAACTGAGAACCCGAAGAGAATCGGTTGGTATAGTTGATTGGTCTTCGAAGACGAACGGTATTGCCCATAAACGCCAAAGAGAAGAAGATGAAGAACAAAGCTCCATTGCTTTTTAAACGACAAGATCATCAGATTCGAGCCGAGAAAGACACAAATTTGCAACAGCAGTAAGAAGAATTGTGTTTCATGGATCAATAATGTAGTGTAATCGTTTAGGCCCATAAAGCCCAATAAAAGCCCATATGAGTAAGACCCATTGAACTCTTAGTTCTAGGTTTCTAGCATTATTTAACTACTATAGTTTTTTAATTGAATGACTGATTTGTTTCATAAGTAATTTATTCATGATGCTCCCTATGTTTCATGAAGATTGATATTTTCTTTATAGAATTTTCACACATATCGTCGTATTTATTCGTGTACATATAATATAATATGCTTAAATGTAAAGTATACATATACTCGTGTATATATATATATATACATTTGACAGAATCTTTGGTTGTCGACGTTGTTGTTCAAGTGCTTAATTACGGTTCATTAAGAATAAGACACACACGTATATAATAGTACTAATAAAAGGTCTTTACTAATTTAAAAACAAGGTTTATTATAAATAATCTACGATGTAGGATCTTACCCTACATCAAGGTTTAATTAAGCAGAGTTAAAAACGGTAATTAATGTCGATCAAGATTTCCCGTAAATCTCTCCAACTGTTAGACCAAGGTTTTACAAAACATGGTTACGACATGTAATAGAAATTAGGGACCAAAAGAAGACAAACATTTTCACGAGAGAAACGGTACTGAGGTTACTTGTGTCGTCGTCTGTCATTTTATTATGCTCATGCTATCTAAGACATGCATGCATGCGTGGAGTGGATGTGTGTGGATGGATGATTATAATGATTTATGATATGATCATGATAATGGAATGGGCTTTGATTTGACAAGACGAGAGTCACGAATTGAGGACGATGATATATATTTATATGTTATTACTTCAATTCTTATCGTCAGTACTCAGGAGACATCGCTCCATGTCTTTCTCTTTTATCATCCATAACGAAAGACAAGTCGAAATATATGTATATCTGTACATAATGCACTATATTTATGTCTTGGCATTTGAGGAACTGCCAGGACAATCATTATTCTAAAAAGTATTTTCTTTGATGATATATTCACTTTTATTAAGTGATTATGAGATAAACGCATGATGCAGAAAAAAAGAGGTAAAAAGTTAATAAATGAAATGATATTTTAAAAAATAGAGAGATGTATAGTTACTTAATTTAGCACTTAGATTATAGGATAAAGCAAAACATTGTAAAAAAATTTAGAGACTACTACTGCATTTGCTAACAATTAAATCTATATAATCCATAAATGATGTGAGCTAAATCAAACGTTAAGAAGACAAATAATATTTGGAGTACAATAATATGACTGTGGAATATGAAGACGAGGGAAGCTCCGAATTAGAGCCAAGAGGCACCAAAACAAGAAGCCTGCAACTGCAAGCAGTAGTCCCATCTTGTTCCTTTGACTATTTTCTTCTTCTCTCTCAAATAACATTAAAAAAAAAAACCTTAACAAAGTCCAATTCACACTCTTATTTATGCACACAGTTTCTTCTTATGCGATGTTCTTAAAAATATACAGTATATTCTCCAAATATATACTAATTTATACCAAACTTTTTTTTTTTTCCGGATTACACAAATCTTTCCGAACGCAAATTATTTTTTCTTTGTGTTAACATATTCACAACTGGACCAGCGGATCAAGCAATTTGATAGACAAACTTTGTTTTTCCAAATAAAAGAAATTTGAGTAGATAATCACTAGTAGATATTTTAGTGTATATATATACGAAAAAAAAGTTAATACAAATCTCTGATTTTCTTATATAGCAGATCTCTGATTGTTCCTGCCACAAACATCGTGATTCTGTATGAAACGTCATTTCAAGCACTCTTAATTATCGTCCACCATTCCCCCTTATCATAATGCACTCTTACACATACTCCTTATTTACACTTTTATATATGTCTATTATATATTCGCTTAAATTATACTATAATGCCTACCAAAATATTTGACGAAAGCTCGATCGTATTAATTCTTCAAACATCCGGTCTTATCTGAAATCTTTAATGAAAATATTGGTTTTTACAATAAATCTACCACTAAACGTATTAATTTGGAAATATTTGGGATTAATTTCTTAAAATGAAAAGAATGTTCACGTTTTAAGAAACTACATCATAATTTTATCAAAAATATTTAGAAAATGTTCAACACATATCCAAAACAGAAACAAATTTCTTTTCTATTTTTCATGTTTGCTTTTGAAAGGTTGTAAACAACATTTGATAAAAAAAAAAACACTAAGATATTTTCTTTTTACTTGAAATACTAACCAACACTAATAAAAACATGCTAACTTAAACGCAAACACCAAAAATAATAATCAAGATGCATACAACGAAAATTACACACAACCATAATTACATCAATAGAAACCGAATCTCATGTATTCATGCAAAAAAAAAAGGTTTTTG